TTCTAAGGGCTTCATCTGGCCTGGATTCCCTGTGTTTCCAGGTCCCATCTGCACCAGCAGGGCACTAGTTTTCACTAGGGTGGAGACCTCACCTTAGAGAAAGGGCAGGGTCCTCCAGTAGTTGAAGCCAGGCTGTTTTCCAAGCTTAGTCTTCCCAAGGACTCCACATAAATACCACAGGAGCCACAAAATCGAGCAGATGGAGAATTACTAGCTCCACATTTAGGGCAAATAGAGCAGCAAGCAGAAATGCCAGGCTAGAAGACAGGAAATATATGAATAATATTAATATATCCCCATATAATTGTATTTTTCTCACACCCTACAAGGGGCTTCAAAAATTTCACGGAAAAGTTCTACTATCTTTTAATTCTCCTTTCCCATAATATTTTTGAAGTTCCTTCATACAATCTTTAGTTGTAAATATAACACGCACATACATTCTGATATTGCCAATCCAACTTCTAGAAATTACATATGGGCAAGTACACAAAGAAGTATGGATATATTTAAATTCATTCTATGCATTCATTTAATGCAACATTTTTATCAGAGAAAATAAGAGAGAAAACCCCCTGAATGTTCAGAAATAGAGAATGATGTAGGTATGCCACGGTACATCCAGGCAATGGAACATTATAAAGTCACTAGGTAGAGTTTTTTAAGCAAGATATTGATTAAAATAATTGGATCAAAAATAGTATTTGGATCAGTGTTCATATTAAGTTCCCAGTTTACTTATGAATGCACTGACTTCCTGAAAGACCCCCACAAAGACTACATAAGAGTGATTATTTCTGGGAAGAGAAATGCAGAATTGGGATGTGAAGGACGACTAACCCTTCACTATAGACCAGCGGTTCTCAACCTGTGGGTCGCGACCTCTTTGGGGTTCGAACAACCCTTTCACAGGGGTCGCTGATTCAGAACAGTAGCAAAATGACAGTTATGAAGCAGCAGCGAAAATAATTTTATGGTTAGGGGTCACCACACCTATAGACCCTTTTGCATTCTTTGTATGAAATTTTCTCAGATGAATAAAAAATTTTTTTAAAGAGGTAAGCAGCCAATCCTTAAAAGAAGAAATGCCAACACTGAAGGAATAGGTAAAAGGTTCAACTTGGATGAAATGCAAATCAGAATTTATGCCAGGTCATTCTCAAAGAAAACTCACTATCTTCATAGCCTTAGGTAAATAAGTGTCGCGACCAAAAGTCTCGGAAGCTTCAAGGCCACAGGACAGGGTCCGGATCTCTCTAGGATAATAGTCAGATGCTCAGAACCAAAGAAGCTCAGTTGTAAATCACCCACCTTGGATTCACACCAGCTGCAGAAGTAAGCCTCCTGGTGGTTTGGCCTTCCACATTTGGAACACGAAAAGTTCTGTGCTTTCTGCGTAAATGGTAGAGGGGGCTTACCTCCACTGCACGCCAACTAGGGAACAAAATAACATTTACAAGCAAGATCAATATTCTAGTCTCCAATCCCTCTCCAAATCCCAAAAGAACAAAACCCCAAGTAAATGCGAGCCCCGGGAATACATTTTTTTGCCTAAAGGAGTAAAAGTATGTTAGACTTCACCAATTAATAAATTTGTCCCCAAAACATGTATTCCTCTGCAGAAACTTGATAAAATGAGGGCCCCACATACCCTGATAGTCCCCAGTGTCTTTAATAGCAAAATTAGCAAGTCCAGTGTTGCTTTATTAAACAAATATTAGTAAATAAAATTGTGGAGAGCTGAATTCCTAAGATTTTACAATTGACGTTTATTTTTCTATCCCAGGATGTTCTAAGATTTTTTTTCCTATCTCTATAACTGGGATGAACTGATCAAAATGATTGCTGCATAATCCCCACCCCAGGGGAATGAACAACAGAAACGAGGGTAAAGATATGAAAACAGTAATAATTTAAAATTTATCAAGAGGTCACGAGGGGGGCAGGAGGGAAAAAGAGGCACTGATACCAAGGGCTCATTTAGAAAGTATATGTTTAGAAAATGATGATGGCAACATATGCACAAATATGCTTGATATAAACGATGTATGGAATGTTATAAGAGCTGTAAGAGCCACCAATAGAATGATTTTTAAAATAAATAAATAAATTTAAAAAACTGTGATGATGGTGAGTTTCCTCTTTACTTCAGGACTATTATCTAAAACAGTTATCTAAAAAGAGGCCACTTTAGCCCCCAAAACACACACACACACACGCAAACAAGAAAAGAGAACATGATTTGATAACATTTACCCTTACCCTATTTCTATGCAACTAGAAGGACACCCCTAGGAGTCAATAAATGGTAAAATACTTTCCAGAATCTGCTTCAGATGTTGCATTTTAATTTATTCCATCACTTAACTACAGTTTCTGATGTAGACTTCTAGCTATAAATCTTCAGGTCTTTCATTTAAAAGAATCTACTGCTTATGTAGATTTTTTTTATACATTGCTTTCAAGAAAGAAACGTTATTTTACTCCATTCATATTAATGCTGCTAAACAAAACAAAGATACGCATTGGGCCATAAATTCTGAGCACCCCATTTGTGGGAGGCAATAGATGACAATCCACCACTTGTCTGTCAGTTTATTGTACTGTGGTGGCTAGCATGTTGCTGTGATGCTGGAAACTATTGGTATTTCAAATATCAGCTCTCACTCACTGCAATCAAGTTGATGTTGACTTTATACTGACCCTGTAGGACAGGGTAGAACTACCCCTGTGAGTTTCTGAGATTGTTAACTCTTTTTCTTTTAATTCAAAGGAATCCAAGTTTAATTTAAAGCAACTGTATGCTAAAGACAAGGTAAATAAAGCAATGATGGCAGGCTCAAATAAAAGGGAAAAGTTGGCAATTTTAACACAATTGTGTTGATATGTTAATTTAAATTTTCATATTAGTTGCTTTTTAAAATATAATACATTTATTTATCTATTTTACTTTATATTCCTGATTTGTTTGGTTAAGATTAGTTTTGAATAATGTACAATAGGTATTAATTTTTAAAATAGCATAATACTTACCTAAAATTCTTATTAACTCAAAGAAAAGTACTATAATATTTTATATAAGATAGTTTTTTGATTCTACTATGAAAGTTCTAATTATAACAAAGCACACCAAGTTTATAAAAAAATTATAATTCACTTGTCCATCTCTAAATTCTTCATAATCTTTCTTTGATAAACAGATCGATACAAAGATGAATTCAGCAGAAGGTAAGATTCATATTTAATAATTGGAATTTTCACTAGATAATTGTAGAGAATTCTGAGTTTATATTTGTCATTTTCTTCAAGCATTCTAGAAACGAATTTATAGACTCCAGTCCAAACTAAAATCTCTTGTTTTTCTTCTTAATTTTTTTGGAAGCTTCATTCAAAGGTATGGGAAAATCATAGTTTTTAGCTACATTCTTCTGAGTTAAAGTGTTGAAAACCAAAGACTACAGCCTTCAGTGTGGATTACACATGCACTGGCGCTGGTCTGGGCTGGCACTGTGCCCTTGATGCTCTCAGTGGCAAGAGAGTGTTAATTTTTATTATTATTATTATTAACTGGAAGTTAATACATATATCATATCATTCCATAGTTCAATCATGTCAAGCAGAATTGTACAATTGCTACCACAATCAGTTTCCAAACATTCTTTTTCTTCCTGGATGCCTTGACATCATCTCCCTTTTTTTTTTAAAAATCATTTCATTAGGGGCTCATACAACTCTCATCACAATCCATACACACATCAATTGTATAAAGCACATTTGTACATTCATTGCCCTCATCGTTCTCAAAACATTTGCTCTCCACTTAAGCCCCTGGCATCAGCTCCTCATTTTCCCCCCTCCTTCCCCACTTGGCCCTCCCTCATAAACCCTTGATAATTTATAAATTATTATTTTGTCATATCTTACACTGTCCGATGTCTCCCATCACCCTGTCTGTTGTCCGTCCCCCAGGGAGGAGGTTATATATAGATCTTTGTAGTTGGTTTCCCTTTTCCAACCCACCCTCCCTCCACCCTCCCAGTATTGCCACTCTCACCACTAGTTCTGAAGGGATCATCTGCCCTGGGATTCCCTGTGTTTCCAGTTCCTATCTGTACCAGTGTACATCCTCTGGTCTAGCCAGATTTGTAAGGTAGAATTGGGATTGTAATAGTGGGGTGTGGGTAGGGTTTGGGTGGGGGGAAAGCTTTTAGGAACTAGAGGAAAGTTGTATGTTTCATTGTTGCTACACTTTACCCTGACTAGCTCCTCTCCTCACCGCAACCCTTCTGTAAGGGGATGTCCAGTTGCCCGCAGAGACATCATCTCCCTTTTACACACCACCACCACTCCTGTATCCCCCACGCCTTATTCTACTTGCTGTCCCTATAGGTTCATCCATCCTGGGTTTCATATACCAAAACACAGAGAGCGGCTTGTGGTTTCCAACGGCTGACTTTGAGGTCAGCAGCCCAATGCTTTAACCCCATGCCACCAGGGCCCCTGGTTAAATACCAATAGGGTCACCCAAAGTGAACAGGTTTCAGCTAAAGATCGATATTCTAGCATTAGTGAGCTGAAATGGACGGGTATAGGCTATTCTGATTCAGACAGTTATATGGTTTACAATGCTGTGAATGATCAATTCAAGAGAGATGGTATTCCATTCATCCTCAAAGAGGGCATTTCAAGATCTATCTTGAAGTACAATGCTGACTGTAACAGGATTTTATCTATCCACATACAAGGAGATCCAGTAAATACAACTATTACTCAAATGTATGCACCAATCACTAAAGCTAGTGATACAGAAATTTAAAAATTCTACCAATGTCTTCAGTCTGAAATTGATAAAAGATGCAGTTATTAAAAAAGAAAAGAAAAGAAAAGATACAGTCAATGGTGATTTGGAATGTAAAAGTTGGAAACAAAGAGGAAGAAACAGTAGTTGGAAAATATGGCCTTGGTGATAGGAAGGAAGTTGGAGATCTCATGACAGAATTTTGTAAAACCAACAACTTCTTCATCACAAGTATCTTTGTTCAATAACACAAATGGTGAGTACACATGTGGACTTTTGCAGATGGAATACACAGAAATAAAATGGACATCTGTAGGAAGAGATGATCATGAAACTCAGCAGCTAAACCCAGGCCAGAGGCTGACTGTAGAAGGGCTGTCAGAAGAGAATGGTAAACTTGCTCTTAATTATACAGAAGCTAAGGCAAATGGGAGAAATGATCAAATCAAAGAGTTAAACAGAAAATTTCAAAGGGCAGTTGCAAAAGACAAATTAAAATATTAGAATGAAATATACAAGGACCTACAGTTGGTCAGCCAAAAAGGAAGAACACACTCAGCATATCTTAAATTGAAAGAACTTAAGAAAAGTTCAAGCCTTGCGTTGCAATATAGAACAGTATCATTAATATCATATGCAAGTAAAATTTTTCTGAAGAGCATCCGTAAAAGCTTGTAGCAGTATATTGACAGGGAGCTGCCAGAGGTTCAGGCTGGATTTAACAGAGGTTCTGGAACATGGGATATAATTGCTGAAGTCAGATGGATCTGGGTTGAAAGCAGAACGTACCAAAACGATGTTTGCTTGTGTAAACGTTTTTCACTGTGTGGATCACAACAAACTGTGGATAGCCTTGAGAGGAATGTGAATTCCAGAGCCGACACAGTGACTGCAACAATGTGCTCAAACGTAAGAATAATTGTGAGGGTGGCAGAGTACTTAGCAGTGTTGCTTTCTGTTGCGCATAGGGTAGCTTTGAGTCAGAAAGGACTGGACAATTCCTAACAACAAAAACAGACTCTGTGAAAACTGAAAATCCATTTGAAGATTAGGTCTTCATTGAATTCCTTCTGATCATTAACCCAGGCAGTAGAAAATTTGCCCTCAGGTAGAGTGCATTAGAAAGTGGATTTTTTCCACCCAATCCAGCCAGTTCAGGGAGGGGCAGTCTCTTGGTGGCTTGCCTGGGTGTGCCCTTGAGCGACAGTACTGGGGTCACATAGTCATGAATTGTGCTGTATTAATCATGCCCTACCTGCCTTCATTGAAAAGTCCTGGACCAATCTTGTAAACTCTTCTATCTAATATAATCCAATTATGGCCTTATTGCAGCTTCTATAGTCCCACCTCTAACTGCGATGTATTAGTCTGCCACCAATCATAAATTTGTAATACGTAGTTTGCTTTGGTCCATGCCTTGTTTAACTAGTGTTTAAGCTGTGTGACCTCATGCTAATGGTCTCATTGACCCAAATGATGTCTATGTATATGTGCTGTCGTCTCTTTTAAGATTTAATAAATGTTGTCCTTAAATTATATTTGGCTGAATAATCCCAAATTATATAAGACAGGAAACTAAACTTACATTATGTTTAAATAAGCACTAATCAGAATAACCACGGAAAAGTTTACATAGAGTACAAATTGTTGTAAACCAATGATAAAAAGCAAATCCTTAAAAGGAATAGGAGACAATTGCCACACCATACGCA